ACGTTGATGCTTGGTTCAAGATTTTCTTGTACCAAAATGAAACTTTTAGTCATTCCTGGTTCATCTCATTTGATCAAAAATTCAAATCTGCGTTACCAACTTGGTTTCTGAGATGGTGGTCTCACTATGGCGCCATTTCAGCTATCCTTCCTGATGATCTCAAAAATATAATTCATTATTTCAACTCTGTTTACCCATTTTCTGCTCACCAGAAGCAATTTCCCTTATTACTCATATTCATTGCCAAATACAAGATTCCATGGATATTCAAATGGAATTATGGGATTGATGATAATATTATCATCCGCCAACACACAGTTAAATGGTGGGATAAATTCAATGTTCCCAGAATTCTTGAAATTGTTCCAGCAGAATTTCCACCTGATCAATTTGCTCCAACTCCTGCTCTTGCTCAAGCCCAGCAGAACCCAACTGCTGCAATCACTCAAGGAAGCCAGCCCAGTCTTCCTCCAGTCAACCTTGGTAGCCCCTCATCTAGTGGCTCCAAGCCCAAATCAACAAAATCAAAGTCCAAAGCTGTTGCTGCTCAACCAGCCCAATCCAAGTCCAAAGCACAGTCCAAAGTCAAGGCAAAGCCCATTCCACCTCCTGTTCAGCCCAAAGGTAAATCCAAAAGTAAAGCCCAATCATCCAAAGCAGACATGATCCAGTTAGCCCATCAACTGTTGAATCAAGCTAAAGCCCAATCCACCGATTCAGACAATTCAGATGATTCAGCTCAGGTCCATTCCTCTGAAGAATCAACCAATCAATATTCCGGACCAGAGTTTCAAGATGCTCAAGATCCATTTATCTGATCAACATTGGATTCCATATAGATACAAATTAGCTTCAATCAATACTCTTTTGAGAAAAGCTGCCAATTTGTATTTATATTGATTCCATTATTCATATAATCCACCGAAAGTGATGAATAGTAAAAATTACTGTTCACTTTTACTGTTCACCGTCACTATTCAACCAATCAACTATTGCTAAAGGCTGCTCAGTTGTGTAATCACTCCACCGAAAGCATCCGACAGCATCTACTTTTCGCATGCTCGGCCAGCTGCTTTCAGAAGTCACATGCTCACTGTTTTGCTTTTATTTCTATATATTGTAATCAATTGTAAGCATTCAGGCATTCTTCAATTTTCTTCCCTATCCCGTGTTGTAAGAAAAACCTGAGTGTTTTGAGAGCCTTACCAGTTTCCCCGTTGTACCTATTTAAGATCCTTGCAGTTGCTACTAATACAATTGTAAGTTATGTTTTAATGTTGTAAGTTTTCAGTTAATAATGTATTTTAATTAAATGTGTTCTTATTTTGATTTCGTAATCCATATATGTGCTGCTTCCGCCCTTATGGTATATATATATATATATATATATTCTGAAAGATTTAATCCATATATGTGCTGCTTCCGCCCTTATGGTATATATATATATATATATATATTTTGGGGTTGTAGATCAAGGTTTTGGGTTAGACATGGTTTCAAGTGTTGGGAATTTTATGGGCTCTATTAAGAATAAGAAACTTTCTCTCCCCCCAAACACACCAATTCTCACAAATTACAAGCTTCCAAACCCTCAAATTACAACCCACCGCAGCAATGTCAACAACAGCAGCCACCACTTGAATGCTCAAATGTGAAGCCTCAGATTTTCAATCCACCATTGCTAATCAATCACCACCAAGCTCACCATACCCAAAACCATGACTTGGGCACTGAGAACCGACTCTGAGAGAGAGAGAGAGAGAGAGAGAGAGAGAGAGAGTTAGCAGTGAGAAGAAGAAAAGAAAAGAAAAAAAAATATCCTCCAAAACGACGTCGTTTTGGAGGGCGATAGGGATGTGCCGCAGGAAAGGGCGACGGAGGATCCGGATTTTGGGTCTAATATCATGCGAGTCCCATCCTCCGTGAAACATTTATGTTTTTTGTTTTTTAACATATGAAACATTTATATTCAATCTTATGTGCACTTAGATTTATTAATACAAAGAAACCAGTCAATTCACAAAATGGCTTGAATGGGATTTTTACAACCACATTTCATCACTGTGATCAATTTGCAAAATTAATTAGTTAAATAATTAGTCATTAGTATTAGGATAAGTTACACTTATCCCTTGAGGTTTTGCTTAATTATAGCGACACTTACGTAATTTCTAAAATTACATTGACCTCTCTTATTTTTTCTGATATTATCAAGATTTTCACTCTTATTATTTAGGGTCTGTTTGGTAACGTTTACGTTTTCAGTTTATATTTACAAAAATTTTATAAACTGATTTTTGTTTATTTTTAGAAAAACATAAACTATAAATGTGTTTGGTAATTAACAAAATGTTTAAAAAATTTAAAAAATATAAAAAAGAGTGAGAAATGACAAGTGGCGGTGGAAGACGGTGGTGGAAAGTGGTGACGGTGGTGGTGGGTAGCGGATGGGGGCGGCGGGTGGGTGGGTGACGGTGGCGGGTGATGTGGTGCAGGGTGAATGGGTGACGGTGGGGGTGGCAACGAGTGGGTGGTGGTGGTGGCGAGTGGTGGGTAGTGATGGCAGGTGGGTGGCGGATGCCGGGTGGTGGTGGGTGGATGGGTGACGGTGGTGGGTGTGGGTGGTGGTGCGGAGGTGGGGGCGGTGAAGCAGGTGGGTGGCGGGTGGTGGTGGGTCGGTAGTGGCGGTAGGTGCGGGTGGTGATGGTGGTGGATGGGTGACGGATCGTGTGGTGTGTAGCGAGTGGGTCGGTGGTGGTGGTCGGTGGGTGTGGTGGCAGGTGCGGTAGCGAGTGGATGTGTGGGGTGATGGTGGTGGTGGTGGTGGCGGTGGGGTGGGCGGTAGGTGGTTTGGTGTGGTCGGTGCGGGTGGATGGTGGGTGGGTGGTGTGTGGCGGCGGCGGCGGCGGCGAGGGGTGGGTGGTGGGCGATGGGTGGCAGGTAGGTGTGGCTTGGTGGGTGGTAGGTAGGGGTGTCCCGCGTTCGGTTAGGACGGTTTACGTTCGGTTTGGACCCGCCGCATGATACGTTTGAGGAAAGTCAACCCACAACCGCCTGTAATGCGTTTGCGGTTTGTGCGGATAGGGTTCGTGGTTGCCGCGGCGGTTTGCGGATTGAACTTTTTTTAAAATTTTTTTGTTAAACCCTTTTTCCCCCCCATTTTTATCAATATTCTTTTTACATATTTCCTCCCATTTTCTAAATACTCTAACATTAATAATTAATGAATTAAATACTTATAAAAATTATTTAAAATAAAAAACACTACAAAATCAATTCGAACCATAAGAAAACATCCAAATTTACCTTCATCATTACTTGCATTCATCTCAATTCGTAACCTAAACAAATCATTCAAAATTACCTTCATCATTAACTTGCATTCACCTCAATTCGTAACCTAAACAAACATTCAAAATCTACATTCATTAACTTGCATTCATTCTTGCATTCATCATTCCTAACCCAAATACAAAAAAAAAGAAGGTAATTCTTCATTAACTACATTCATCAAAATGCAAAAAAATAAATAAAATAAATGTTTTTTTTGAACGGTCAGATTAAAAAAAATATGCTGGGCGGTTGGGCGAACCCCCACAACCCGAAAATAGATAATCCAAACCGCACCCTACCCTAATTGTTTGCAAACCGCCGCATACATGCGCGGTCGATCGGGTAGGGCCGGTTGGGGCGGTCGATGACCTATGCCCACCCTAGTGGTAAGTGGGTGGTGGTGGCAGGTGGGTGGTGGCGGTAAGTGGTGTGGCAAGTGGTGTGGGTGGGGGTGCGGCGGAAGACGGTGGTGATAAATGGTGGGGGTGGTGGCTAGTATTAGGTGGTTAAAAATGAAAACATATTTTTTAGTTTACATTTTTTCGCCAAATTTATAAACTGAGACCACTGATTTATAAATCAAAAATTTACCAAACAAGTTTTTATTTGAGTTTTTAAAATTTTTGTAAATATAAACAGAAAATTGAAATAGTGTTACCAAACGACACCTTATTTTTTAGATATTGTCAAGTATCCTCCAATCCAAATTACGAATTAGAAGAATTTGCCTCCTTTTTACTTTTGTCTACATACCATTAAAGGGGACATAAATACTAGGGTTTTCCATGTTATGGCTACAACAGAAGGAATAGAAACTCAATTAATTCCATCACAGTTGAAGGAGAGGTTTTTAAGGAACCAGGTAAAGTAAAATATGAGGTTTTCCAACACTTCAAGAGGCAGTTCACTGAAAGCTGGTAAAGAAGACCAGTTTTGGAAGGATTATTCAAATCAGTTGAAGCAAGCTCTGCATTTCATGATCTTGAAGTTGTTTTCACTGAAGATGAAGTAAGGGTAGCAGTAAAGGAATATAATGGAGATAAGACTCCAAGTCGAGATGGGTTTAACCTCATTTTTTTTTTCAGAAATTTTGAAGTTAGTACGTCATGAGGTAATGCACTTCATGAGGGATTTTCATGCTCATAGCAAGCTCTCCTATGGAATTAACAGTTCATTTATCACTCTTATTCTTAAGACTGATAATCCCATTGGTTTGACTGATTACAGACCCATTAGTTTGGTGGGTTGTATGTACAAGATTCTCTCTAAAGTCCTTGCTCATAGACTTAAGAGAGTTCTTCCTGTAGTTGTTGGGGAATCACAGTCTACTTTCTTGGGAGGGAGAAGTATACTGGATGTTGTGTTTATTGCCAATGAGATAGTGGACGGATGAAAAAAATCCAGAAGGAAAGGTATTGTTATCAGACTTGACTTTGAGAAAGCTTATGATTCAATTAATTGGGAATTCCTGTTTTCTACATTATCCAATTTTGGATAAGGATCAAAATAGATAGCCTAGATGAGGGAACGTGTCTCTATAGCAAGGTTGTCTATTTTGGTGAATGGCTCACCAATAGAGGAGTTTTTCACCATAGAAGGGACTTAGCCAAGGTGATTCTCTATCCCCTTTCCTATTCAACATAGTGGCCGAAGATCTGAATATCTTAATGATCAGAGCTTATGAGAAGGGCATTATCAACGGCGTAAAAGTTGGGGTAAATGAGGTAGTGATATCCCATCTCCAATTTGCTGATGACTTTATACTGTTTTGTGAGGCAGATATGGATCAATTAGTGCACACAAAAAGGAGCGTAAGATGTTTTGAAATCCTGTTTGGAATGAGAATTAACTTTCATAAGAGTGTTGTGTGTGGAGTTGGTGTGGATGAGGAAACTATAGCTTCTTTTGTTGATATTTTGAATTGCAAGGTTCATGGATTGCCATTCAAATTTTTGGGTGTGTCCTTAGGTGCTAATCTAGGTAGGAAATCAACTTGGAAGCCAGTATTGGATAAGATAAGATCAAGGTTAGCTAGGTGGAAGAGAAGACTTCTTTCCTTTATAGGTAGATTAACTTTGATTAAGTCTGTGTTGTCTAGCCTTCCTATCTATTATCTATCTATGTTCAAAATGCCTAAGGGAGTGGTTAGAGAGATTGAAAGGCTTGAAGTTGCTTTCCTGTGGGGTGGGAATGATTTCAAGAGAAAGGTACACCTGGTGAAATGGGCTAAAGTATAAAAAAATTTGGTTCAAGGTGGTCTGGGGATTAGAAGAATCAAGGATGTCAATGGAAGCTTACTCCTTAAATGGTGGTAGAAATTTGGGAGTGCAGCAAATGCTCTATGTAGAAGATTGTTGTGCAACAAGTACATGATTGAGGAGGGTAAATGGCTCCCACTTGTGAGCTCATCATCTAGACATTCTAGAATATGGAGTGATGTTGTTGCAATTGCAAGTCATAATCAACCTCTAGTGGAGTTCTATTTGGATAAGTTTCAGATAAAGGTTGGAAATGGGAGAAGAATCAAGTTTTGGCATGATAATTGGGTTGGTAATTGGTGCCTAAAAGATAAGTTCCGTAGACTCTTTAGATTGTCAAATGATCAGGAGGGCACATTTTCTAGTTTCTTCGAGAGGAAATCCAATTTGGAGGAGTGGAACTTCTCCTTTAGAAGAAATTTATATGATTGGGAAAGGTGGAGGTCTCTAGATTGTCTGTTACTTTAAGGGATGCCCTTTCTCTAAGACTTAATCTTGAGGATTTTCATATTTGGAATGGTTCAACTTTTGGCTGCTTCAAGGTATCTGATATTTATAAGTTCAGTGATTCTCTTCTAGGCCCTCATCAAAAAATTTGTAAGTTTGTGTGGAATAATGCTATTCCCCCAAAGTTCAATTTTTTGGTTGGTTGGTTGGCTTGGAGGAATAGAGTTAAAACAGGAGATTTCTTTCAACATATTGGTATCCTTAACAGTAGCGTTTCTATCTAATGTGCTTTTTGCAAAATTGAAAATGAATCTGTTATTCATGTCCTCTTGCATTGTCCATTTTCATGGAAAATTTGGACTGATTTGCTGCAATGGTGGGGTGTCTTTGGGTGGTGCCAGGGTCTATTGATAGATATTATTTCATTGGTGGTTAGGATGGAATCATAAGAAATTGGTTTGGAAATTATGGAGGGCTTTACCTCCAATTGTTCTCTGGTCTATTTGGCAGTTCAGAAATGAATGTATATTTAATGGAGTGTCGCCTAGTGGTTCCGAGTTATGTGAGATTATCAAGATCAGATTTGCTCTATGGATTAAAGCTTCATCAAAGGGGATCATTTACTCTGTCAATGACTTCATCAACAATCTGGATTAGATTAAGGATTGCATTTGAGGGTTGCTAGCAGGTTCTGTGTAGTGATAGCAGTTTGGTGTTTTGGCCTGCTGCTAGTTTTTGCTGTCATATGCTATCATTTGGTTTATGCAATTTTGCTGATGTGGTGTTTGTTGTGGTTGTTGTTATGGTGTATGTGGGGTGTGTTCAGTCTTATTTTGCTTTCCTATTTGTTGGCTACTCACTAACTTTTGGCTTGAGCTAGCATGTGTGCTCTTCTTAGTACCAACCTAGTTGGGATTAGGATGTATCATTTTGATGCTTCTTGCTCTTGCCTTCCCTTTGTTGATGTAATTTCATACTTTGTATGGTTTTTTTCATCAATAAAGTTCATTTATTTGCTGATCAAAAAGTACTATTTTTTGTGCTAAGTTTTTACATTATTTCAAACTTGATTAAATACAAATTAATTTAGTATGTGATTTAAATTTAATTTTTTATTTGAGGAGGATCACACTAGGTGTTGGACAATATTCACTATATTACGAATAAATTATGTTTGTGTACTTAACAACAAACATAAGAAATAAAGAAAATGAGAGAGATTGTTTGATTACAAAAATCAAACTAGAAAATAAATAAAAAATAAAAACAGATTTTTATTTTGTTACAAAAACAAAATCAAAATCTAATATAAATAAATAAAAAACATAAAGTAAATTAATTACTTACCAAATTTATTTATTGAGCAAATTTTTGATCAAGTCCAGTGTTTAACACTGTGTCCTTAAGACAGATTTGTCCTCTCCACGATGCTTTCAGAATATGGACGTCTATCTCCCAGGATAAAATGATCAACAACGAATAATAATAGCACTGCAAATTATTCGCACAACGAACACACTTTGTGTTTATGTGTTTATACACTTTCTCATAAGAAAATAATGCAGCAAAATGTAGAGAGTAATTGCAGAATTTTGGACGAAAATTTGAGTGAAAAACCAAATAAGAGACTGCCTATTTATATAGGAAAATGGTGGATGTTTGGTTTGAATCCAACATGCATAGTTTAAATTAAACGGATACAAATCTGTTTGAATTTAAATTAAAATAGGTAAGGGTTTTTTGAACTGAAACTGTTCGGATAGATTTGAAATCTGTACAGAAAGGAGCATAATTTTCAACCAAAATTTGAATTTAAAAGTTCAGATTTTATTTTACAAAAAAATAAAATAAAATTTAAATGCTTTTTGCCTAAAAAGGTAAGTATTTGGCCAGATAATCCCAACCCAACCTCACACCATGCACTCGTGCCATCGGCGCACGTGTGTTTATTTTTGGGTCCAATGGGTCTAGCCCAATTTGCCCATAACCTCTCCCTTCTACAACGTGGAGTGCCTCTTGGGGCCCTTCCCAAGTTACAATCCCATACCTTATAAACCCATTCAAAATGTATCCACCAAATCAATGTGGGACAAGCTTTGAACCAAACCTTTAGAAAATTTCACCAAAAACACCATTCTCATGGTGCTCTCTTTGGCTTCAATTTCTCATTCACCCGATAATGGTTTTGAGCAACCAAATATACCACGTGAATCACAACGCGGCATAGAACGCGTTACCACTTAGACCCACCAAATTTGGCGCATGAGTCCCATCTAAAAATTAGACCAAAGTTAAGAAAAAAAATCATATTTTCCAAAACCATTTTTAACACTAGGTTGGCATAAAAGAGGATCGCACAATCATATGCAAGGTCAACCAATTAGTTGATTATGAATTAGATTTGAGTAAATTAAAGAAGCGTATATTGATCCAATTTCCTTCACTTTTCATTTAAACTTTATATGATGCATTTACAAACATACAAGTTAATATAGCTACTGCAAATATGAGATGGAAGGGAAGCCAATGACAGGGCCGGCCCTGAGTTCGTCGGGCCTAAGGCGAATTTTGGAAATAGGGGTCCTTTTATATTGAAAAAAAATTCATGAATAAAACGATAAGTTACAATTTTTTTATTTGTTTGTAACCATAACAAAATTTACTTACACATATAATCATTAAAATTATAAATAAAACAATTTAATAAAACAAAATTAGAACAAAAAAATTAGGAAAGAATTATTCAATTAAAATTGATAAAGACCTAGGTAAAAAAATTTGAGCAAAATTATTTATTCCACTAAAATCTAATAGATAAAGAAGGTAAAAATAAAAAATAAAAAAATAGGGCCCATATATTGTCTGTATTATTTTTCTTAAGTCCAAACACTTTTTTTTTAATATATATTTTCATTTTAATAAATATGGACCAAATTACACTTATAAATAAATATGGAGTAAATCATACATGGACCTAAAAAAATATTTTGGGGCCCTTTAAATTGATCCTAAAACCCCCCAAAAAAAAACATTGAGCCTATAATATTTTACCAAATTTAGGGGCCCTATTTTTGGGCCAAATTTAGGGGCCCTATGTTATATATGTTTATATATTTTACCAAATTTAGGGGCCCCATTGTTTTTTATTTATTTATTTATATATTTTTATTTTAATAAATATGGGCCAAACATATTTATAAATAAATATGGGCTAAATTATACATGGACCCAATAAAACATTTGGGGCCCTTTAAATTGATCTTAAAACCAAAAAAAAAAAAAAAAAAGGTTGAACCTATAACAATTTTTTAAATTTGGGATCCTATTTTTGGGCCAAAATATGGGACTTAAGACACATGCCTTACCTGCCTTAGGGCAGGGCCGGCCCTGGCCAATGAGGATAGAAGAGGAGGTGATGGGGGCTGGGAGCTGAAGAGAGGGTGACTGGAAAGCATTGGGAGGGGAAATGATAAGGACCCTGCAGTGGCTGGAAAGGGGAGAGAAGGCCACCGCAATGGCTAAGAATGGGAAAAAATTGGTGGCTAAGCGACGTGAGTGAGGGAGGTTCTAATTGCAAATCTTAAATTTTTTATTGCATCCATTATATACAAGTGCTTTTTCAACAAACTGATATTTTTTTTTTCTTTTCTTGATTTATTTTAAATTTAAAAAATAGAAAAAAAAAATAGCATCTCCACAACTTGATAGAATGATCATTTTATGAGTGAATATCAGAGTTGATTAGACTTCATGATCAAAGATTTTTTCCCATCAAATAGTAGTGTAAGTGCTTGTCCAACGAAATGCTTCTCAGTTCAATCTATCTACAAGGAATTTGTCTCCTCTACTGGGCCAAGACTGAAAATTTCGCCTCTTATTTGGGGGAATCTTGCACCACACACAGTTCAATTTTTTAGCTGGCTAGCTTGGCATGGAAGTGCTAAGGTGGCTGAACTTTTGCTTAAGGTTGGCATAAGGGACACGTTGGTTGCGGAGTGCCAGTTCTGTCGTGATGCACTTGAAACGGTGAACTATGTATACGGATAAGGTATATATCATGTGATACCTTCTACTATTATGATTGGCTTTGATAATAAATCTACTACATTTACATTCGATGTTTGGGAAACAATAGGGGCACATACATTTGTAATTAATGGAAGGTAGTGCCATGTGGTACCTATTAGTATACAAAAATTTCTCCATTTTTTGACTTTTCGAGATGTCTTTCTAATGACAATTTTTATGATGATAAGAATTGGTCTTGTAACATTTTTTGCAACAAAATTTTAACATTTGAGAATGGAAAAGTTTAATCCTTGAAAATCATATATGTTGTAGTGCATCTATCAATACTCGTTCTAAGCTAAATTTTCACATTATTTCAAGCTTGACGTGTGCTTGGGTAGTGGGATGATCCACACATTAATCATTAAACAAAATAAAAGGAGTATATTAAACATTATATATATATCTACATTATGTTTATGATTAAAATAAGATCAAACTCTTAATTTTTTATATAATTTTCCCTCCATAATAAATACACAGATGATGCCAACTATTAGGGAGGTTGTATTTCCACACATCATTTACTTTATGTACAAACACTTAATGAATAAATTTTATATTACAATTTTACCCCTAAATAAATCTACTAATATAGACATAAGTATACACATCTCACCTCAAATTTAAGATCTCTTAGTACACGTCTTTGGAATTAAAAAACTCTTAGTACACTTCTATTAGAAGTCTAACATTAAATCCTAATTTTATTCTCTATTGTTTCTCAATCAACTTTCCGAAGTCTACATCTTCCTAAAATCTTCATCTTTTAAATTTATTCTTACCCAAACCTCACATTAGAAAACTAGCATCATAAGTTGCTTCAGAAGTTCAGGTCTGAAAAATCTACTCCAATTCAGAAGTACAGGTTTGAACAAATGAGAATGGTTCGGTTGTAGTCCTTCGAGAAAAAAAGTTTAATTCGGAAGTACAAATCCGAAATTTTATTTTTG